CCCCCCCCCCCCCCCCCCCCCCCCCCCCCCCCCCCCCCCCCCCCCCCCCCCCCCTCATTTTTTCTTTTTTTTCCCCCCCCCCCCCCCCCCCCCGGCTCTCTTTTTTCTAAAGGACCAAGGGCCAAATGGAAATATGATTGGATCAACCAGCTATTTTCCCATATTTCATCATGCACGAGGGTTTATTCCTTAATAAGGAACATTAGAAAGAAAAAATAAAATAAGATGGCCGAGTGCCGACAATGAAAAGTCAACAGACCCGACAATGATTTTTAGCCAACGAATAGATTGTCACACTAAGACTGGCTGAATTAATTAATAAAATTCAATCTGACTTTTTGGAAAATTCAAATCCATCATATTATTGACTAGTTAAATGATGACTCGGTGGTGCTAGTAGTACACAGGATTGTACCTAAACGTGTACACCCCTCTCATATAGGGTGTGAGATCCATCCGAATAAAAAACACTTATTCGAGTGGACCCCACACCCCATGTGAGGGGGATGTACACCCTTAAGTACACTTCATTATGTACCACTAGATTAATTCATGATGATTTATGGGGACCATTAATTTAGTGCACAACCTAATTATTTTATTGTGTGTTTCTTTAATGTGAACAAGTTCTTTTAAAATACAAGAAAGTATTTGCCACCAAGAAGAATTTTAGGTTTGACCAGTATGAAAAAATATTTGTCAAACCAAAAGAATATCCAAAACTAAAAACTAGTCAATGACATTACATCGTTTTAGAGTTTAGGAGCACTGGCGAATTCAGCTTCCGACATGAACACGAGCTAATACAGCCCCAAAAAAAAAATTACACGTAAAAAAAATATTTACTAATTTTATTTTTTTTAAAAGGAAATTTGGGACTGACAGAAGGACTGTAGCACTGGCCTACCCGTCCCTGAATCCGCCCCTACTTAGGAGGGATGAAATTTAGAACATCTTCTTTTCTCGAAATCGATCGATGGAATCACTTTGAAATTGTCATACGATGAGTTTCTAGCATGATAAGCATTACAGTTTTCAAATATCATAAAATTGGGATTCATTATGTTAACAAATCACTAATCAACATTATTACTACATTGGTTGATCTTTTATGGACACATGGTAAAGCAGGGTCAAATAAAAGCTAACTAAGCAATTGAAATTTCCTTTTTCGAGAGATCTAAGCAGACCAATAAAATTATTTAAGAGTGCACGTTGTTCATAGAATTTTACAAGTAGCTCTAAAGTACAAACACGATTGATCACGAACTAATACAAATCGTTGCAAATTGATAGATAAACAACTTGTAAGGATAAATACATGACAACGATCATGACATCTAATTTGGCTTGACAAATCACTTGATGTGGCATCTCGTTTAACACACCATTCGTCAATCTCTCTCTATTATATAAATATTATGATTAAACACCATCTCATATCCACATTTTAATCATTTTTACTATATTCTATGCCCTTTCTCTTTTGCGAATTAACTTTTATCACAATGAGAGTAATTATTAATAGCTGCCACAATATATACACAAATAAAATCGAAATATCCATTGCTAAAACACACAAATTTAAATTTTTATTTTAGATCAAAAAGCAAGTTCAATTTCCTATTCGGAAAATGAAATATTATGCAATTGTGTGTATATACTAAATAAAGTGTTATATGAATCTTACCTTCACCAAGAATAATTTTATCACTTAAAGATCAAATTGCTCGTTCGAACTTATATGAAACAAGAGGACACGTGAAAAAAAATAAAATTTGAGAAGTATTTATAGTAGTTATTAGGTGCATCTCTTTGAAGACGTTTCTAATCTATTGCCAGCCGAATGCTTCAAGAAATTTACACAATTATTAAACTTAATAATTAATGCAAACATTAAATAGTGTTGAAGATAAGTAAACTACTTGAAGGAAAATTATGATCTCTATTATAGCATACACTTTTCTTTATTTAAGTAATGAATAGTAAAAATGATTATCAATTATATTAGTGGTGATTTACATCATTTTTACTCCAAAATAATCATTTCTTCTTACATAAATCTCTTTTCAATAAATTATGAACAAGATAAATATATTTTGTTCTGTATTATTAAACAATGGCTATGAAAAGATCTTCAATTCGACTGCAACAAAAGACAATTGCTATGTTGGTCCAACATTTTCAAAATCGGATCAAATTAGACGATTCGATTTAGGGGAGTTAAATGGGACCCTCAAGCTAAGTTTGCACTCACTCGTGGAACGAGTCGAGTGCAAGTCGGTTCGCCTCAAGAAAGTTAGGCTCAACTTACCTCTTAATGGAGCGACCTGAGCCATCTCACGAGCCACTAGAAGCTCACGTCTTCTATTTTTTTTATTTTTTTTATTTTTTTTTTAATTTTTTGGATAGTCTAAAATTACATTTTGTAGCTAAGATGTGAACCGTTTGACTTATGTCCACAACTTGCCCCACTTAACACTTCTAGGTCAATTAGAAAACTTTGGAACTAATCAAAATATTGATCTTGTTATAAATAAAGAAATCCAAAAAATAAAAATATTCAAAACAAGTAAAGAGCAGGCAATTTACATAAAATTTTATTGTTTTATTTCTTACTTCCAATTTGGCTTTTTTACCCTTGACTTTCTACTTTTTAAGAATTGATGCTCAAATTGATTTTTAAAACATTGATCGATCCATGAATTCTTCACACGAGAGCAAAAGGTTCGTCAGAGAAAAGTTTCTCAATATCTAGAAAATATTCCATGGGGCGGTTGCACCATGTGAATGATGAGATCGCCTAATGCCGAGGTGCCACCTCGACGGGTGACCCACCACTCCTCCTATGGGTGAGCCACCCGACGAGGTGGCGCATCATGATAGAGCGGTCATTGCTCCATGGAAGATCTTTTCCTCAATATCTAATGTGTCAAAATTTATGTGAGGAGACAGAAGATCTAGACTCGAAATTCGAAAAACAGACCTATTAATTAAGCATAAATGCAATGCTCACTAGATTTGAAATGAAAATCTAAACAGACAGCAAACGGCCACTAAGGTCCACAGCCAACATTAAAGAGATGTAATAAAATAGTTGGAACAGAAGAAATTAAAATAATGGAACTTGGGATACAGCTAAGTTAGATGAACCTGTACAAATTCTGGATTCCCTTTGCCAAATATGACCCACCAATTTATGAGCCAGGGACATTTCAGACAAGAAAAATTGGTTCATTACTCAAATAGTCATGTAAATGGATCGACTCTAGTAAGGGTTGGCATAGAATAAAAGTCTTTTAGTGCATAGTTTTTTCTTTTCTCGAGAATTCATACATCTTTTATCAACGCATAAATTTCATGATATTGAACAAAGTAAATTAAACGATTGTACGAAATGGTTCATAAGTTTTTTAAATTATAAATTAATATGAATGAGTGATGAATAAAAACGAATAGTAATTGTGACTGTGTAAGGACATAAAACAACCCATAACCTTGCATCTTTTACGACGCTACATTAGTATATAACGACGGGTTGAATGAATTCTTTTTTCATTGCTTAAATTAATAAAATGGCTAGCATTGTTCAGTCGATCATACTTAGCATGTGACGTAAATAATGCCTTGGTTCATATAAAAAAACATCCCTAGTGCACAACTGAGAAAAATTCATTTATATTTCACATGTAGAGCTAAGTAGAGACCCGAGGAATGAACAAACTCCTCATGGTTTCAAGCCCATTTGATGGCTCACGAGAAAACCCAAAGAACAATGAAACAAACACTATCAATTGAAAAACCAAGACTTATTTAGAACATTTTCAAGAACAAAATAATTTAGCAAAGTCTTAACAATAGTAATAATCCTACTAGCTGCAAAATTTATGGGCATGATATATTGAGGGGTGCTACTGCTGCCCCATTCATCAGGGGTGCTTCATCCATAAACGCGAAGTCGAAGTCAAAATCGAAATCCGGTAATGCAATAGGCTGATCACAGTCCTCCAATCCACCAAATAGAAAGTCGTCACAATCATTGATAAAATCGTCCACTGGGAGCACGAATTCATCATTTGTAGGGATGGAATTGAGTTCCAAATCCAAGTCCATTCCCTCAGCAATTTGTGGCAAGGATAAGATTTCCTCGTCCACTAGTCCCAAGTCAGCCACTTTCTGCTCAACTTTAGCCTCCAAGCGAACTTCATTGGCCGTCTGATCATTACTTTTGCCATTGATTCCTGAAGATGAGGCCATAAAATCCAACTTCATTACTGAAGATGGAGACGTATGTGAAGTGAGTGAAACCACGCTTCCTATAGATTCCTCGGAGAGGCACAAACCAGCATTGGTCTTGTTCGGTTTCTGATCAGCCTTGGAAACCACCACAGAAAATTCAGTATTGTTATTAGAATCATTTGAACTTTTCCCAACTGTGTTCATGCTATTAGCTACAGACTCGAATTCAAGACGTTTCATTTCATAAGCACGGGATGCCTCTTCAGCAGTATTGAAAGTACCTAACCAGATTCTTCTGCCTTTAAACGGATCCCGTATTTCTGCAGCCCATTTGCCCCATCTTCGCTGTCGAACGCCTCTGTATTTTCCTAAATTGGGACGTGTTCGGGGCTTGCTCTCGACTTTGGATAAAAACCTCTTCTTCTGGTTTCTCTCACCATTGTTGCTATCCTGAACTGAACTCTCTGTTTCAGGGGTTTTAGACAAGCAATGAGAATCCTTCATAGGAAAGAAAATTTCCTGAACTATCCGTTTAACTTTCTTCTCGTTGATTCCTTCATCGTCTGATGAATCAGTAGCATCCGGGTCAGTACAGATGACCCGGAGTTTCCTCATTCGCTTGGTGGGTTCTGCTATGTTGATAAATTTTTTGCTTAAAGTTTCTTGATTTGCTAATGGTGGCATGTTTTAATCACTCCAAAACCCCTCAAAAATTACCCAAAATTATCTCCAAAGAAAATTAAAGAAAACCACAGAGCAAACACTGAAAGATTTAAGAAAATCCAAGATTTTAAAGGAGTATTAAGTAAGAGGGCCTCTCAAGAGCAAGAAAAGATTCAATAATCTTTTTATGTGAAATCCCCCGAAGCTCTCTACACCAGAAGAAGTCCTGCAAAATAAAACCCACAAATTATTTCAGATCCACCATTAAATCCTCCAAAATTCACAAAAATAAAAATAGCAATATTTACAAAAAAATATAGACAGGACATCATATGCATCTACAGAAAAACCCACAAAAGGGTTTAAGGGAAAAATGAGTAAACAAAAAAACCCAGAAAAATAGCACAAAAATATATCAGATCAACCTTCAAGTCCTTGAGAACAGGCCGAAAAAAATATGTGATAAACATCCTTTGACATATACATACAGAAAAAACCCACAAGGGTTTAAGGAAGGAGTTTCACCTTTTACATCCTTTGACATATACATACAGAAAAAACCCACAAGGGTTTAAGGAAGGAGTTTCACCTTTTGGGCCTCAAACGCATCGAAACCAATGAAGAAAAGAGGTGGGTACTCTGCCGGAGTGCACAGCAGAGGGATTTTTGCATGCAGAGAGCAGAGGAAAAAGAAGAAACAGAAAAACAGAGCTTCAATGGAGCCCCAAAAACAACAGCCAAATCAGAACTTCTCGACATAAAATCACTTAAACACCAATCCCTTCTTCTCCCACAAAAGCCCCCTTCTTCTCAACACTTGATAACGATGAACGGAGAGAGAAAAGGAGTGAAAATCGGATCAAAACAGACGTTTTAATAAATATTTGTGTGTATAGGAGATTAGAAATCAATGGCTACAATTTTTCCCTTGTATGTGAAATTGAAAAGTCCAGAGTGACACCTCTCTCTCCTACTAGTAACTAGTGCCTAATGGCAAATTCTCGCTTTGCTGGGCATTTGTGAGTCATGAGTAGTGTCAAAAATGAGTGTGTGGTAGGTTTTATAATTAAGCATATCTTATTAATTTTTATTATATAATTTTTTGTCAATTCAATTAATTATTAACACATTATTTTAAATTGACATGTCATTAATTTTAATTTTTCACTTTAACAACTATTTAACAATTTTAAATACTTTTTCTCTGGACAACAAATCTCAATTCATATTTAGCAATCGTTGAAACATTTTTTTCCTCAAACTCAATTTTAACCACACATTCTCCCAATAAAATATGTTTGACATAAATATAAAACTTTTTTTCTAATTGTTAACCACGCAATCTTCGAAAAAATCAATAATCCAAAACTCATTTTCCTCAAAAAGGATAGAGCAAAACTCATTTTAATGGTTGTCCAACTGGACTTAGCCTAGAACTATTTTCAATTTTGATTTTATCTACAAGATTAAATTTTTACTCTATATCATTTTTACAATTGTTGATAAAAATTAGTTTGACCTATTTGATTCTCATTAATTACCAAAAAAATGAGTTTTGAATAATATTTTTACGAGAATATACAGTTAAAAAGTAAAGAAAAATGTTTGGTATATATGTAGAATATTTTATTATGCAAATATGTGACTGAAAATTATCATATATCAAACCATAAAATAAATTGATACGTGTTTTGATTGTTAAAATATGAATATCGAACTACTCGATGCGTACATAGTGAGTGAGATGACAGGTTGGGAATTTTTAAGAACTTGTTTGATAGGGATTTTCATAATTGATTTTTTGATCGTTAAAGATAAAGTGGATCCTATTTATAAACGAAAATTTCAAAAATGACGGTTGGAATAGTAAAATAACGATCAAAAAATTAATTTTAATTAGCTTAAAATCCCTACCAAACAAATTCTAAATTTTCTTTTCTTTGCGCAAAGATAATTGACTTGCCTTGATCCTAATGAAAAATTCAAGAGAAGATAAAGAGAAACAATATAAAAATAATTATAAAATATCATGTTTTATGTAGAAATATTAATGAATTGGAAGATATTACATAAAAACAAATGTTTGTATAATAATAATAATAAGCGTGGATGTGGGGGTGTTTACCTGTTTTGTTGTGTGCCGTGTGTTTTCTTTGCGGCTCTTTTTCCTTTTCTTGCAAGTCCTTTTCTCACAATGTAAATGACACTTTCAAAGTTATTGTAGGGATTTACTCAAAAACAACTCTCTCTTTCCAACCTTTCGGTATCAAGAAAGTGTCAAACTCTGTAAATCGGGTATCTTATTCTTATCAACTTTTCAATTATATATTTCGTTAATTTTTCATAAAATTATTGAAAATATAATTTTAACTAAACCAAACAGGAGCTTAAATTGTTCAATTTTCAATGGTTGCATGATGATTCTCTAATGAAAATGGAAAGGAAAATCAAGCAAGACTTTGTTAGCTACGAGTAAAGGCGTATAGAGGATAAGAAGATTTTAATTATAAATGATGTTTTCTGTAATGAAACGTTGAAATAAGGGCAAAAAAATTTTAAAACGTAGGAATGTTTTATGTAATAAATGTCAACGTAAGGACGTTTTGTGCTATTAACCCTTCTTTGACATGTTACAATTAACATAAACTTGTGAAATATTAGAGCAATCATCAAATTTTCTTAACTTTTATTATATTGTTATTTTGAATGTATTTTGTTTTTTTTTGGGTCAATGAAATATTATGTGTTTAGAAAAAGAATATTGAAAAAGGCAGATTTAAACAAAAGATCTAAGAATATTTTATCACTATCCCACTATCTAAAGGACCTATTATTCTAGTAGGCCAAATTTCCAATGAATATTCTTGTCGAGCATCACGTAATAAAATAAATTATAATTGATCTTACCAGAAATGTGTGAATAATAATGAGTAATAGTTATGAATATGTAGTAATTAATGTTTGACACGACAAAATTTATAAACCATCTATTAATTTGTTTACCAAACAAAGGATAAATTGTAGTACAAATTTCATGGCAGATTTGGACAAAATGTCCAAGTGAATTTGGGATTTTCATTTTTTTCATTTCATTTTATTTATTTTATGCTATTAATTTTAGACTGTATTTATACAAGAATAATATGGAAGAATAAACAAGAAAGTGTGAAAATGAGATGAAAAATAAAAATATTTAAACCCTTGGTTCTCCTCTCATATATACTCCAAATGTAACAGAGAACGAAGGCCATCCTACCCGTTACCTACCTAAGACCGAAATTTATACTAGGGAAAACATTGATCTAATATTTTATAAAATATAAAAGATTATTATTTTTGCAAGTACGATGGACAAATTACCAACAAATCAAAATATATACATATTTTAGAATTTTTTAAAATGTTTGATTAAAATTTATATTAGGGAACACATTGATATATTATTTTATAAAATATAAAGATTATTATTTTTGCAAATACGACGGACAAATTATCGACAAATCAAAATATATACATATTTAAGGAATTTTTAAAATGATTAATTAAAATTTATTAAGTCACTATCAGGTCTTAATTTTTTAAAACTCGTTTTCAATTATCTATTTTAAGCAATCCCATCGACTCGTTGACTCGTCTCATCTTCGATTGCGTCATCGGTCCGCCATCGACTATCAACAGGTCTTGTCTCGTACTTGCCTTCGTCGGGCTCGGCTACTGAGTCATATCGTTCTCTTTCTTTCTTTTTTTATCTTAAAAGATCCAACAATTCTAAGTAATGTGCAGGAGGATTTCACCTTCATGTTGCTAACTCTCCTTCCATAAGTTTTGGGTCAATACTACCAAATCAATGGATCCCTCTAGCTCAAAAACGGGTTGTTAATCACAGCAAATGCCTCCCTCACGAGCACAATCAAATCAATAAATTATGACATGTCCATATCCTTCCTACATACACGAGATAATAAGCAAAACTAAATTGGTGTTCAAAATCTCAAATATCGAAAAAAGAAAAATTCATCATAGAGACACGAAAAGAAGATGAATAGAGAAAAAGAATCAAATAAAAACTAGCAATTCTACCAACAATTTCAAAAAGCAATCAATGTTTCCATCCACCATTCCACCTAGGGGTGTCAAAAATGCTTGCTGACTCGGGCGGCCCGCAGCCCGAGTTGTGGCTCGGAGCAACCAAGCTGAGGCTCAGGCCGAGCCCCATTTTGGGGACATGGGCCGCGCCAGCCCGCGAGCTTTTATTAAAAAAAAGATAAGAAAAAGAGGCAGCAAGGTAAAATTCTGCCTGCCTTTAAAAAAGCAAATTTAAAGGGCAGGAGCCTGCCCGGCTCGAGCCGAACCAAAATTTTTTGGTCGAGCAAAAGCTCAACTCGGCTCTGACTCGCAAAAAAGGTCAACGGTTTTAACTGAGCCGAGCCCGAGCCTAAACTTTTAGGCTCGGACTCAACTCGATTCAACTCGTTGACATCCCTACAAGGAATCAATGTGGGACAAGAACGTGGTCCATGACCCGAATTCACCCTAACTGTTAATTTTTATTTATCATTATTATTTATTTATGGGTTCAAATTTAAATTGAATTTAAAAGTATAAAAATAAATAAGCAAATATTGTGTTTTCAATCCCTGCCTTGCTCCCCGAAAACCCCAAATGAAGTAATGAAGTGAAGCTAAGGGCCGCTCCACCTTGTCATTCCTATTAGTTTGATTTAAAGATGGAAGAAAACTACCTCTGTCGTCAGTATTATGCCAAGATATAATCGCTGTGAAGAAATAATTATTTGATTACTATTATTATCAGTGCATCTATTTATTATTTATATGAAATCTCTTATATTTATTTATATCTTTAAATGATTGTATAATCGAGCCGGAGATAAGTATGGGAGGGACATATTAATCATAAAGAGTTGTGATACATGCCACGATAATTTATTATTGAACTGTCCTAGATGTATGGATTAATGAGACGTAAATATCATTAGTGTGGATATGCTATATTACATGCACTTTTAAAGAACGTACAAAAAGTGTAGAGAAATTTGGAGTGTACATGTTGATTCTTGTTGTCTAAGCAAGTTCTTGGATGACCTATTGTACCGTAGAGATTCTACATGAATAACTATAAGAGTGTCAGAGAACTCTCTCAACAACAATGTGAAACTAATTTTTTAACTTTAGATCACCATGAAATCTTATTTTTGAATCGTCACACTTTGGTGATTATTAATATGAGATCGGGTTTGAAGTGAATCAAATGAAAATTGATCGATGATAAAAATTGATTTATTTTCTTAGAAAATAAGAGCTTGTATCAACATACGTGGACTTAAGTGTTATTACACTAATTCCTTGTCTGACATAGATTTGTGAATCAAACATGTGTTCAGAAGCCAGGGCAAAACTTCAGAACCTAACCGATCAAATCAAATCGAATTGAACCAAATCGAGTGGTTATTTTTAAATTAAATACTCGAACGGATATCTGAATAAAAAATCGAGGGGTTCGGTTCGATTCTCGATTCTATATCAAGAACCAAATGACCGAATAAGAGCCAAAATTTCCTAACTTTTTTAATTTATTTATTTTAAATAAACCAAATTATTTTATTGTTTTCTAAATAAATTTGCTAACTAGTTAATTTAGCTCAAACTTAAAAATATGATTTTTTTTCTTATTTCTAATTTTCAGTCTAAACCCAACTTAATCAAATTGATCTAAGTTTTATCCAAATTTATTATAATACCGTAATACTGTTTCTACCATTTAAAAAAAAACAATCAAATTGAAACTCGATAATGCCACTCTTAATTATTGTGAGCTCGCTATCTTTCCTTTTCCTGTGATTTTAACAATCAAAACTATAAAGATCTCAGCAAAGAGAGGTGCAAATGACACATAACATAGGACTGCGTTATTTTGTAACAACTAAAATTGAACATGTCATAAGTTGAATTAATATATCTTTGTAAATATTAAAAAAATTAATTATAGTAAGGAATTCGATAATCGAATG